AAAAAAAAAAGATGTGTGGAAAAAAATAAATGAAGGTAAAACTGTCTTTTCTTAGATATTAGAAAACAAAAAAATGGTATTTTATAAAAGAGAATATGAAAAATGGCATATTTTATAAAAATTTTGAAAAAATGGTAATTGGTGTAATATTCACATTAATATTTTTCATTTTATACATGTTTAACTACTTCAAAATGTTTGAAGCCATATAAGAATTTTGTCTCTTGACTTAAATTTAACCAATTTTGAATTTTTATCACTAACCATGCAGGTAATTGGTTCCGATCTTACCTGTTCTAATAACTAAACACCGATATTTAGTTAGTCACTGGTTTACCCGTACGTATATATAGTTAGGAATCTAGAATAGTGTACTTAATTAACCAATACACTAAAATATTCAAGAGAAGTGACACAATGGTTTGGTAAGTCAATGACTAAAGCCTTTGGTCATGGAGTTGCCTCCAGTGAGCTCAGTCTTACTATCCACAACTTCCGTCCGCCTGCAAAACGTATCGAAAATTTTCACAAACTATATAGTTTACATAAAGAGTTCGGATTCCAAATAGGTAAAGAAAACGACCTTGCACGCGGCAAAATTATCGCAACCGCATATCAAATTGCCATTCGCTACATCAACTGCTTGCGGAGCTCCTCCACCATCACTTCTCTGAACCACGCATACAAAATATATAACACAAAATGTTTAACTTTAATAAACATTGATTGTGATGAAATCGACAAATATTGAATTGGTCCATGTTCCTTATATATTAGTTTAAGTTTTCTCTGACTTCATATATGAAATTTTCTAACAAGAATAATCTTAAAACCTACAACTATATATATATACCTTGTAGAAATCGACTGCTATGTAGTTAGGCCATCGTTGTCCCGCGGCTTGGTAACACGTCTTAATGGATTCAAGAAGAGAAGCAGAGTTTTGTTTACATGCTACTACCAAATCAGGAGCATCAGGAAAATGGTTAACAAGAACAAGAGATTTCGATTTATCGTTCATCGGTGATGATTCACCCCTGTTTGGACACACTCCTGCCTTCAATCCTCCATTCCCATCTGCAAATATTTTAAGACAATTAACAACAAAAAACGTTCATACAAATTATAACATAAATATGGTTTGCATCACATGTATAGGACTCACACTGATTCTCAACCGTATACTTAAACTGATATGCGATTTCTTCGGTTGCTTCTTTACTTCTATCGGATGTAAAAACTAGCAACCTTTGGTTTTGGCGTACCATATCATCAAGCGTTGGCCAATCCCCTCCATTTTTGGGCATTCTAGTAACCGGAAACATGAACTTTCTTAATCCGGCCGCATCAAACACTTTCGTGAGACCTTTAGGCGATTTCACATAGTCTTCGATTATAATCGTTACAACTTCCTCACTGTTCTTCTCTAGAAACACTTGAATCTCCCTTAAAACATCAATAGCCGGTCGCTGTCATTGTACACCAAAAACAATACAAATCACAAACATTTTCGATGTATACAATACATAACAAAACCAAAAAAATGTATCAAAACTTACGAAAGCTGTGACATTGTAACATGTTCCACCGAAAGAATGACAAAGCCAAACATCGTTTTCGAAGTCATACATATCAAGCATAAACCCTCTTACACCATTCTGCAATAATAACCAACAAAAGATTCACACTTTGCAAGAAACTTTTAAAAAGGGGTTTACTAAAGTTTGAAACTTTGTGATTGAATTTTGAGTAAGAATTTTCTTACATTGAGTTGGCTTGTGATTGAATCTTGCTGATTAGTAGGAGCTAAAATCACAGAACCGGTCCTTGATACTTCTCCCAAACGAGCAAACGAGTTGTGTGTTGTTAACCATGAGTACTTATTGAAAGGCAATCCCTTTACCTTTATACATAATCAATTTGATTAATCATACAAAAAAAATTGATCTATATGTTTATAAATTGATATGAAAAAGGTAAAAAAAAAGGTGTGAACCTTGGAGATAGGATTGATAGGTTGTGTTCGAGAACATCTAGGTCTGAGATTACTGCTGGCTAAACATGTTTCACAGTGTAATCCAGTGTCACAGTTCTTGTTTACTATACATGTTTGTCCCTCCTACGATCCAAGAACCAAAGAATCAAGATTTTTATCGAAACCCATGATTCAAAATGAGATCTTTATTAGATGACAAATATCTTAGTTCTCTCCATGATTATATTTGCATGCATCCAAACAAAACCAAAAAAGAAGAAAATATATGGAGAGACAAAAAAAAATCCTCTGT